ATAGAGGTCCTCCAATCATTCAAGGAATCCTTACAGACATAAACACATGGTTAAACAGTAAAACATTAAACTGCAACCTATCCAGCATCAAACTACAGACCTTAACTGAGGCTTTAACATTCATTTTTTTCAGTATTAGAAAAGTCTAGCTTTAATTCCTTTAGGCAACTACATTGTAGGCTTGGGTTTCTTTAAACTTAATATAAACTGAATGCTCAACTCAAACTAAATAAACAGATTATGGTGAATTTATTTCTACCTAGTTTTTGTCTTGTTCTTGTGCAAAGTCTGCTGCAAGCAGGGAGAGAGTTCAGCTGCAGGTTTTCTAGTACAGCCCTGAGGAGGAGAGGAATAAAGCTAAGAGCATTCTGTCACGTCTAACCTCTCCCTCAAACCGCTGTGCAGTCAGTGTTGCCAAAATAACAGCACATTCGTCTGTGAGAAATGATTCTTACGAGCTTATGTTCCTGGATCCAATAAGAAGGAGCGCCAACCTTATTGAGTTTTAAAAATTACCACAATTAGAAACACTGTCTCAGTGGCTCACCGCTCAATCAAAATCTCTAACTGATTTTGCTTTCCCACAAATAAAGCAGACAGACACACACACACACACACACACACACACACACACACACACACACACACACACACACACACACACACACACACCTATTATGTCACATTAACCCACAAAATTTCTAAGCCTCTATTTGACTGTAAAATAGGCTCCACAGAATTATTAAATATAATAGATTGTGATGGATCATTAACTAATACAGTTTTGATTATCACTTTCAGAGGAAAGTAAATCATGTTAAAGAAAATGCTTTTAAATGATATCAGGCTATAAAGAGTTCCTGCTTTAAGTAGTTTATTTGCATTTTTATTTATTAGCTGCCTCAAACTTTGCATACAGTGAGATATTTTCTTTCTCTTCAGAAGCAAAAAAACTAACCTGGCAATAAACAGATTATATGTGTAGAACTGAGTTATCAATCTGGGATGGCTGCCATTTAGCCTATCCGTGAAAAGGAGGGACGTTTAGTACAATACTTCAAGCTGATTTGGTGAAGTGCCAGCTAGTATCCGCCATCCATAATAGGCTTTTAGCCAATCATAGCAGAGAATAGCGACGTTCTCACATCTAGCGGAGTAAGCTGATAAATCACAGACGTCTGAGAAAAGTACAGACATCTTTCCCATCTACAAATGCACAAAGTACTTCTCTTTTCTTCTTTTTTAAAATGAGAAATTTTTGTTATTTTAGCTAAAACAGATTCAATTTTGATTAAAAACCAAAAAACACTGCTGGCATGTCATTGGTCCGACCCGCTGGTTGTTAGGATACGGACATATTAACGCGAGTCTTTCCAAATAGATTTGTAGTGAGACTGAAAACTCAGATCTTGGAGCGCAGGGATGGCAAAAACCAAGATTTAAAACATTTCTGTTTAAATTGTAAGCTTTTTAAATAATTCCTGTGGTACATAGAATTTACTTTCCAGCCACCTTATGTTAAAGAAAAATAGTATTAATTCCAAAGAAAGTTAGAGAAAATAGAATAACTTTATAAATAAAAAAAACAACTTTTAGAAAAACTTTTTTTAAACATTTTTAGCGCTAAAATTATCCCTACCAGTTGCTACAAAGTACAGTTTGACCTTCAAAAAAATTAGCAGCAAATGAGTTTGTTGAGCTTTAGTCCAGCTTATTGAAAAGTGGTCATTTCTTCCAAACAAAACAAGAAGGTTTCCTGTAAATTAAATTAGATGTGCTCTAGATGACCCGGTGACATCAGAATAAGCACAAGTCAAGACAAAACAACTAAAGAGAAATGCACTGATTAGCACCAGTGCCGTACTGTCTTAAAGACACAGCTTGGAAACACTTTACTGTTAAATTCCATCAAGGTCACAGCAGGTCTCTATCTGGTCAACCATCTGCCTGGAGCCTTCCCAGGAGGCGCACTGTCATCTCCTCAGCTCTGTCCTCTGCTCTCCTCACTAAAGTCTGCTAATTCAATTCTAGGCCAAACAAAGTGAATTTTCTGTGATTGGTTAAGTTACCAAAACTTTGCAGCCACCCTGTTTTCTTTTTTTTTTTTTTAAGTGAGACAATAAAGCTCATATTGCTGAAAACTTTTATAAGATCAACGCTTAACATCTCCTTTCAGATCACAAACGAAACCAAAGCCTTGCCATCTGCTGTGCTTTTCATTAACTGAACTGAAATGTCAATTATGAAGTAAAATACACATTATCTGCAGGGCTTTGGGATTGGAGAAAAATATATTATTTGATCATGAAATGATGAGGCTCCTGATGGAGGTTTTCCATTTCCACTTAAAAATGTTCTTGAAATGTACTTTTGGTTGGAGAACTACAATAATGTAGTTGAAGATAGATATATGTACGTATATAGGACATGGTGATACTGCCGTAACTATAAATATAGGTTATATCATGCAACACTGAATGGTGAAGTTAAGTTTTTTAACAGCTCGGTGTACAATGAAACCAGTCAAACTGGCCGTAACATTCCTAATAGTTGCACTCAAATGACATAATGTCAATCTGAGCTTTTCTCCACCTATAAGGATAAATAGTGCATTGCCCCGTTCCCCACCTTTTGCTGCACATAGCAAGATGGTTCCAAACTTCCCCGTGCTCACAAAAGAGCTAGGCATGGCAGAAAATACTTTCAGATATATATTAAAAAAAAAATTATTGGAAAAAATGAGAGAACTTTGCCTCTCTTAAGGCAGAACATTTCTGCCAAGCGCCTTATTGCAGCTAATCTAATTGAAAACTAGTATTTGTTAGTTTTATTTCAGGTGTTACTGTTTATTGAAAGAAGACAAGCAAAATGATTCCAGTCCGTGGAAAAAGCAATTTTAGCTCACCAAACGCATAATAAACTCAGTCTTGATTCCAATATGTTAGGCTTTTGTTCAAAATAATATTAAAATCAAGCAAAAGCAGAAAAAAAATGATCCGGTCATGTTTAACATGTCTGTTTTAAATATACGTTTAATTTAGATGTTCATGTGAGAGAGCAGAATTATTCGAGTGCTGGGCTGCTGACTAAACTGGACCAGGCATTCGAAATGAGCCGTCAGCTCAGCAGCTGGTCTGGGAACACAGTCGGATGAGGGGCAGGAAGCCGGCCGGGAGACGGAGCCTTACTGGGCAATCGGGGGGAAGCACGGGGCTGCCGGTGTCCAGGCTACCGTCACTGGGTTGGGTTTGGTCCCTCCTTCCCCCGCTGGCTCCCTGCATCCGTCCACCGGGGTTCCCGGACCAGCCCCGGAGGTCACGGTGCGGTTTGAGTGCCGTTTTTGAGTGTGTTTTGACTACGTGCTGTACTGTAGTCGACCAAAATACGATACGATTTTGAAATTCCCCCTGGACATTTTTTTAGGTATGAAAAGTAGGACATGTCCGGGAAAAAAGAGGACGTCTGGTCACCCTACCATATCAATAATTTGATTTTCATTTCATTGAGTTTCATTGAGTGAGTGCATGTTGCTATGATGTGTCTTGATCAGTAGCTTTGCTCGCTGTAAACCAACCAATCAGGGCACAGCTCATCTAAATATTCATGAGCATACCATAAAAGGAAGAAAACCTGTCGTTTCATTCTAGGGCTTTTACCCAGGCTTGCATTAGGGCTCATAGAACAGCAAATATGCCATTTTCAGCCCAACCAATGTGACACACCCTATTCAGAGACCTTAAGGACCAGCACCATATACTCTGTATAATCATTCTATGACCCCTTTAAGCTAGTGCTGATTTGTGATGTTTGGACTGAAAAGTGTGCTGTGCACTTAAGAAAGCTGCAAGTTTCATTCTTTAGCAAAGAAAGACTCCATTTATCATGGTTTTATCAATGGAGGTTCATATAAAGCAAACCACTTACCAAAACACAACGAAGAATCCAAATACAAGAATCTCTTTTAAAAACTAGACAGAAAAATAAAATAAAATCAAACCTTGGTTACATCATATAGGCACTTGAACTCATGCTTGACCTCAAAACACAGCATTGAGTGCTGAAAATTGATTCAAGGCATTTATGTACAGTACAGTAGGCGGTAAAGGTTATTGTACTCATTTCAACTTTTTTCCTTTATTTTGTTGATTTCTAGATTGTTTCATTTAGTTGCACATCTTAATACAATCGTCTTATTTTAATAACAGTACAGTTAGGGCTTGATGACAAAATGATGGGAATATTTATCTCAAAATAATCCTTCTGAAAAGACATGAGAAATCTTTGATAGAAACCATAAATATAGATAAGATGAAAGATAATAAGAGCTCCTCTGCATTAAAAGAGAGCCATACATGTTAACTAAACTCTAACAGCACAGTAGCAGCAGGATGTGCTAACGGCTAATGTTTTCTCATGTAATAGAAAGAACATTATCAAGGGAAAAAGGAAGATGAAATATATACAGTACATAGACACAAACAGTGATGTGAAAATATTATGGTAATGATGGGATTGTTTTTTTTTTCCCATATTACACAGCCCCATATCCAGTATTTTTCTTTCTTATGTCTTGTTTTCTCAGTAACATTCTTTGTTTTTTATATTTCTACCTTTGTGTGAATCTCACTGTTTTGTCTTCCCTTTTAATTTGCTGCTGATGCACATAAACTTCTCCTCTGAGGGACAATAAAGGATATTTCATTCTGTTCTTTACTTCTCGTGAACAGCCCATTTGCCTATATACGTCCCCTGTGTCTGACATAAGTTATTTCTGGCAAACAGAACAAACACACTATAGGAAGATCAAAATTGCCAAACAATTACCAAGTAAACCAATGACTTATTTGCAAAGCTGCAAGCTGCACCATTTTTGTCATACATTTATTAATTAAGCAGTTTCTATAAATGTCTTAAGGGAGCAGCTTTCATTACATCTAAATGCATCTAATCTCCAACTGATAATTGTAGAACATCTTACTGTATAGAGTAACAGCCTTTACCTTAAAGCTTTGAAGGAGTCTGCTGACGGCAGCAATCCCACATACAGGTAAGATTCCAGGGTTGGAACAGGTTCAGCAGCAGCTGTCTGTGAATCTGGATAAAATAAAAAAAATATGATGAGTGTTACATTTGTGAGCATCACTGACATAATGCTGAGCAGCTTGCAACTGATGCCACTAAGACTCTGAACACAGCCATATTTTATTTTCCATCAGAGAGATCCAAGTCCAACAATGAATAAGAATGAAAATCTATGAAGATCTATCAACCCTTTTATCAGGGAAAAGCGGTGAAGGGCCCGTTAACGTGATAATACCTGCCTAAAATTCAGAGGAAAAAGCATGTTTTGGAATGCAGAATGCATTTGCAATAAGTGAACAAAATCTCACGACAAACCCCACAGCTCAAACTTAGACAATTGTGATGATAGCATCTCAGCTCACAATCTGCCCTGGCAATCTGCTCCAAGAAAAATCTCTTCACCTTGCCAAAGCACAAACCTAAGAAAAAAAAATAATATATATATATATATATATATAAAAATGAAGACTCCTACACTAAGATGTAACCAATAATATCTCAACTTATAGAAAGCCAACATCAACTGCAAAAGTTTTACATGATGTTGCCAGAAATTCAGCTGAAAACTTAACACACATTTGGGTAAGTTGTTGCAAAGCTCCCCAAAACCATACATAGCAAATAAAAAGAGATGACCTTCTACATCCATTTATCTTGAGGCATAAAAATCCACCAGCATGACCGCACACTTAACATTTCAGAAATTAATCTGTATACTAAAGTCTGAGAGCCATATAGGCAAAAATGAATAGGGGGTAAGTTGTAGATTTTCATTTAGATATAGAAAACAAATGCAGGCATTATTTCAGTTGGAAATTAACAATCTGAACAATCCTTTGCTAAAGCCAAAAGAAAATTTGCAATGCAACAGCAGTTGTAATTACAGGCTAAGAAACTTTTGTGTGTACTTTAACTTCCTGAAGATAAAGATTTTTGGCTACAATCACAGAGTTTCTGCAGATGTTGAAGTAAGAAATAGGGTGGGTTATATGGTTTTAATAAAAGGAGCATTTAAGTATTCTTAAATCCTTCAGTCCTTTCCAAAGCAGAATATAAACGATTACTAAATTCTCCAGCTGGCTGTCACTTTTGGGTAGTGGTTCAGTTAAGGTTACAGCAAAGCCAGTTCATCAGCTTTCTTCTTTATGCGAGACCCAGAAAAGTTCCTGATAGAAAGCTGTTTATAAGTAATGCTTTATTCTGGGTAATTTGATACCATTAGGCATGTGGCCATTATTTTTTCAGAATCAACGATTAAAAGTGTCTGTTTACCATTTATGGCATCATACAGTACAAGCTCTGATAAGAAAAACAAAGCAACATCTAAAGGCAGATAAGGCACTGTGCAAAACAACTGCATGTGCCACTTACACATTGCAGTATCTCTGAAGTATTTTCAGTCTCCAGACAGCAAATTGCCTTTAAATGCAACTAGATGGATTTAATAGTTAGTGCTTTATAGTACAGCTCACATGTTAATGTATTAAAGTCACAAGTATCCAAAAGATAAGGACTATAACATTTCCAAAATACTGCAGGACAAGCTGACTATATTAGCCTGTATGAATTGTCTCTGTAAAGAGCCTTGAGATGACACTTGTTGTTAATAGAATCCGTATAAATGAACTGAACTGAATAAAAAGGGCTAAAATTCAGCCAATAACAAAAATATTAAAAGTATCATGACAAGAATCCTTCAGAAAGCAGCGATCCAGATTAAACCTTACTGAAGGAGTAACAGAATAGGACTTGGCCTCTGTAATGTTGGACTGAATGCTGACTGCGTTTACCTGTTTGAATTAATACCGGCTTTAAACAACATTAAGTAAAAACTATTACGGATTAATTTACTCTTCAAATTTTAGTGGCTCTTTTATTCAAGCTATAGAAACAACTGCTTTAACATTTTCAAACCGTGAAGCAGCCGATTGAACCTTTTTGTTGCCACGTTTCTTCCCTACTAGCAACACAGACATATACAGCCACTTAGAAGTATTTCCAGCTATGATAAACAATCAATAGCTATATTTGTATTTGCAAAATTCCTTAATAAGAAACATTTTTTAGGGGCTGAAGAAAATAAAACAGAATATACAGTTTATATTGGCATGGTAAAAAAAATCTAAATAGATGCACTTTAACTTGTAAGAGGCTCTACTTCTGACTGTGCTCTAAAAATTGAAGCAATAACAATGTGGAGGTGTGTTCTGAGAAATCTTGTTGCTCATGAACCTGCACCAGGTTCTGGGAACAGTTAGGTTTATATTGCCATCTCTGATTAGGAGACAAGTCAAGCAACACATGATGTTGCTGCGTTCCAGGGTGAGAGAACAGGAGGAAATCAACATTTTCTCCAAGTTTTGTGTCACTTTTAAGAATAGCACTACTGCCCCTCCACACACATGCAGACAGGTCATTTTGCCCCAGTCAGAGAGACATGACGGTATCAAGTGTTTAGATAGATGATAACCAAGATGAACCATCCCTCTTGCTTGGAATATAATTTCATTCTGATTGAGCTGAATCCAATCAGACTCTTCAGATCGGCTCATTTAAATGACAGCATTTTTATTACAATCTGCCCATTTCTCTGACTATTTATGTGCAATTGAACATGCCTGCTGTGTGGATGAAGTACAGTACAGCCAGCAAGCTGCAAGTTGCAGGTCTGCTAAGCACTTAAGTGCAGACTGACTAGCTTAGCAGAAAGCCATACTAATTGAACAGCTGATAGTAACGAACCAAACACAGCTCAGGTATGAAATTAAAGTTGTCTTTTAGTAGATCTCTCCAAATGGCCTTTTAACAACAGATATTATGTCAAATCAATGTCATTCAGCCAGTAGCAGTCTGGGATATCAAAACAGGAAAGGTTAATTATGAGCAAGCCCTTTATCTGAAACACGAAAATACCTGCAATTTAATCTTTGAGACTTTGCAAAAGGTTTCATTTGGCAAAGTCTTTGGTTGCTCGTTTTCCAATCCAAAAAGCTTTGAAATAATCCTTAAATTAAGTGTAAATATTGTTTCAAACATTAAATGTAATTTCTGTTTTATTCAGAGAAGTAATGAAATGCTTGAGGTGAAGGGATGAGGAAGGAATGTGGAAACCTCAGTCATGAGGTTGGTTTTTACATCTGTTTAGTATATTTATGGAGCTTAGAGTCTCTCTAATGCCCATAGACAAAAGAAAACACTGTTTAAAGGCAGATTAAAGCTACAGTCGACTTTTGTTGCACAAAGGAATCAGCAAACACATTTCCCACAAGTCCACATGTGATACCCATGTATATGCAAGATAACTCTTGGATTTACCTAAATTGAATAGCCAAACAAAATACAGCCTAATTATCATAAAATGCTTTGCAATATTGTTTTTCCTACATTGTTCTTTTACCCAAATAAAAATTTTGTGAATGCCAAAGACTATTAGATAGCAATTTTATCCACCACAACCACTAGATGTGGATTTTTGGGTATTGATTAACCAAACCTCTAAAATACCTATAATTTTATGACAGTCTGGAGCAAGCTCAGTGCTGATATCGAAATGTTGATTAATCTGAGTTCTATAACTCAAATATGACATATTTGTACTTTAAGACAAAGCGCCTGGATCTCATTTCTTCATTTCACATACTGAACATCCTTAAACATGAGTTTATATGTTCAGAATTAAAATAAACATGCAATGGTTATATTTCTTAATGTGCTCTAGAAGATTTCTAAACTCAGAAAATGGGCTTAAACTTAATGTATACTTTAAGAATAAAAAGTAAGGTGTAGTAAAGCCCAGAAGACACAGAGATCTAGGGAAAACAAGAACAATTTGCATTATATCCACAACTAAGGACGCAATGCAAACTATGCTATATGAATATTACTATTACACCAAAAAAAATTGTTTGAAATCTTCTCACCTGCAGTCCATTGATATTAAATACATTTCCATTCTTTGCATTTTGATTTTCTAAGATCTGTTTCTGGAGAAAAGACAGAACTTCCCACTCCCTACGCTGTCCAGGAAAATAACCCCTATTCACTGAATACCTGGGATTTTTTCCAGCAATGTTAGTCATAATAACAAAGATCAAAATAACTTACAAGACTCTAAATAGTTACTTGATAAGTCCCATTTTAATCCCTTTAAACTGTGCTAATGGGATGATGGATGTGATAGTCTATGGCCAGCCTGGGCTTGTATTTAAACAAGCAATAAATCCTCCAGAGGAACTTGGGAGTTTGGCCTCCTCTGTCTCCCACCAAATGACAAACAGACCCCACTCATGCCCTCTCTCCACTCAGCTGTCTGTTAAGCGAAAACATATGGTCTGGTATCTTGTTTCAGGCAAAGTGAAAACACACGCCGGCTGAGGTATACAGAGGAGCAGAGAAGTCAAACAAGTTGTGACCAGGAGCGTTTCCTCTTTCTTTGTGCCAAATTCACTTACTCAACATCTCAACGGGGGGTAAGGAAAATAAATTTGACCCCCCTCCCCTGGTAGAGACTGCAGAAAAATCAATCAGTATTAAGGTCATGCCACAAGCCTTAACACAAGACCTCTGACCCATGAGGAGATCTCCTTAGAGGGAGGGACAGGGATTTGTCTGTCGTCCCGTGTCTGCTCCGTGTCGGACACCAGCAATGCTCTTGTGCTGAGGGGAGGAGCGCAGCCTGACCCCGTCCACCTACCACACAATAAATCCAGCAGAAGGGTTCAAGGTGGCCTGACCTGAGGTCGACCTCGTCTCTGGAAACAGGCTACAAGTTCCAGCTGAGACTTTCCTTCCCGCCGTTTCTTTCCCATCTCAAGGGAAAGGAGGAGGATAGGCTGAGTTTTATGGTCAATGCCAGACTGCAAATGAATACATTTATTCACTCAAGTTTCAATTTACATCCAAGCTGTGTGGAAGACTTCTTTCCATCATTGAAATGGATGGGAGGGGGGGCAGAATTAGCATAGCATAATTACACTGGGGATATCCAGGCTCCAAGGAGCAAGACATAACCT